GTCACCCGAGTTAACTAGGCACGCGCAGGCTGTTTAGGCAGACTGATTGGAGTACTCCCGGTGATCCCCGTTTTTGATAATGGATAATACAGTGTCCGTTCTCCGGTCTACTAACGTCTTCTCCGTAGTTTGGGAGATATGCGTTAGTCACAACCTTCTTTGCCTAAACCTTCACAACCTAAACCTAAACCTTCACAACCTTTGCCTAAAGGGTAAGCATCTTAGAGCTGATTTCGTCCATTCCAGCAGCCCTGCCACTTTTCAAGCTTCTGAAAATTCATCTGTTGAATTATAAATATCCATTCTCTGGTGCTCTTCTTTCGAGTCTCGCTGCGCGTGCACGGGATTAAGAAGTTTCTCAGAGTACATTCTCCACTGCCGATGTATATCTTCATCCTTGGTAAAATAGCGTTCGGTCTTGTCCTTCAGGACTCTTAGACTGCCCTACTTTTTTCAGAGGCGTTGGCTGATCTGTCAGAATACCTTGTTTTGCGTCTGCAAATTTGGCTCCAACACACACCAAACTTTTCCAATGAATCAGTTTTCGCTCCTACATGGAGCGCTTCGCACAGCATTTGAGGTGAAGGCTGTTTGCTTCCAACCTCTTTTTTAATCCAGCCTTCTGCCTTACAGCCAGTTGAACCTCTGGTGTTCACCAGGAAGTTCGTTTCTGATGTCCATGCCGTACTCCATCGCGTTTCACGTCGCAGCACTCGGCGGAAGTTTCAAGTAAGCCTCTCCAAGCAATTCCACTCGGTTTTCACGTCGACTATCATCGCTTGAATCTCTTAAAACCGTCGTACGATGTGGTGTGCTAGTTTAGCCCTCGTATCCCTTCATCTTCCATCGCCGCTTCTCTTTTCGAGTCGCGGATGCAGACGCATCAGACAGCGCTTCCAACATTCCTGATCCTGTGCCAGAGTCTGACCTTCGGCAGAAGACAACTGCAGTCTGTAACAGACTCCTTCCGTATATTTGCACCAGGTTATTCTTGGCCATCTCCTGGGCCTTCTACAGCGCGGATTCCCAAGAAAGTTGCTTGGCTTTCCTTTCTGGAGGCATTCGCAACACATGGCCAAACCATCGCAGTTACGACT